GATAGACATTTTTGCAGAGTAATAGCCTTACCATTTTACTCAAATGTATAGTCTATTTTGCAGAAGCAGCATAGCTGTAGTGTGTGTTTCATCATGTAGTGTGCTTTACATAGTGATGAAATGGGCCAATAGAAACAAGACAAGGGTCAAGACTTTCAGAAAAGACCAGAGAGAAGAAGGGGGCATTTTTTTGCCCTATGAGTTAAGATTCTAGGCAAATTAATTTACTCAGGATATATAGATCTGGAAGCAATCTCTAGAAGTATTTGTTAGACTATTTTTCTCAGGCAGAATGACATCAAAAGCTAAAATAAATGGAAGGAATGTAAATTAGATAAGGGAATTACTAGACGAGGCCTAGTATTTTTCCAGATTGTCAGCTACTTCTTTGAAGAACAAAAATATCTGTGTGATCTTTAAAAACAGAAGATGAGCCAAAACCGGTTTGGCTCAGTGGATAGAGCGTCGGCCTGCGGACTGAAGGGTCCTGGGTTCGATTCCGGTCAAGGGCATGTACCTGGGTTGCGGGCACATCCCCAATAGGAGATGTGCAGGAGGCAGCTGATCGATGTTTCTCTCATCATCGATGTTTCTAACTCTCTATCTCTCTCCCTTCTTCTCTGTAAAAAATCAATAAAATATATTAAAAAAAAATAAAATAAAATAAAAACAGAAGATGACAAATTTTATGTTGTAAGTTATATATCTTATGTATAGCAACAAATAGGGCCAGGTTTTTATTAGTGAGTTTAATCCAATATTTTAATAAACACATTAGGCATGACTGTCTACATTACAATTTTGGTTACATTCCCTGTATTCCCATAGAATATATACATAGAGATAGTCTGTGACTTCCATACACTTGCTTTATTTTCTGTAGCCCATAAACTAGACAGTAACCCTACCTCCTCTCCTTTTACCAAGAAATGTTTCTCTTTTCTTTCCTAATCCCCTTCAAACCCTCCTCATTAAACTTACTAGAGACTCAAAAGCTTCTGGAGAGTGGAAAATTGGAAAGACTGCAGCAGGGAGATGTAGAAATGTGTTTGGCCTTCCAATTTGGAATTTTGGAGGCATTTTCTATGGACATATTAGATATTAGCTTTATATTGCTATTACTATATTCCTACACTTAAGGTACAGATTGTTACAGTCTGGCTGAAAAGTCAAACTAGCCTGTATAATGTTTCTATGGGAAAATGTATTCCGAATTCCAGTTTGGAAACTCCTAGTTCTAAATTTTTTGAGAACCAGTTATATATTACTTATCAGAAAACACTATAAATAGTTAATATTATTCATTCATTATAGAAATATTATTTTTAAAATTATGATTTAGGACATGTTATTTTAAAATATTTAAAAAATATTTTTTTATTGATTTCAGAGGAAGGGAGGGGGAGGGAGAAACATCAGTGATAAGAGAGAATTATTGATCATCTGTCTCCTGCAGGCTAAAAATATTTTATGTTAGCTTGGATATAAATTTATAAATTAAAAATTATCTCCAAGAGTTCAAGGCAAGGACTAGGAAAGAAACATTAAAATAACAAGTAAGGCCCAGCCAGCATGGCTCAGTGGTTGAGCATCGACCTATAAACCAGGAGGTCACGGTTCAATTCTTGTTCAGGGCACATGCCCGGGTTGTGGTCTAGATCCTTGGTGTGTGGCATGCAGAAGGGAGCCTATGAATGATTCTCTCTCATCACTTATGTTTCTGTCTTTCTCTCCCTCTCCCTTCCTCTCTGAAATCAATAAAAATATATTTAAAAATAAATAAATAAAGTAAAATAACTAAGTGCTGATATTTTGATGTGTATGGTGCTTATGAAATAGAATCTTGTTATCTGAATTTTTGTTTTGTCTTCTTTAAGAGCAATAATTGAAATGACTATAAAGTTTCTGAGGTTATGAGAATAAGAGACCTCATGATGACTTCTAATATATGAATAGTTCTATGCTATAATGTAGGCAAAACTGCTTTGAACATTCTGAAGCACGTTATAAATAAAAAGTTGTACTGTTAAATATAAAAGACCTTCTATGGAAAAGAAAATGCCATAAAAATACTGTGAAAATACTAATTCTTTCAAACTTTAGGGTAAGGAAGCAAAAAGTAGTAAGCAATTTAACCAATAACTTAGTAAATATGCGTTTATGAAGAGCATTCCAAATAACTTTCCCAAAGTTACATAGAATATTATTCTCAGAGGCAGGATAATAATCACTCCAAAATCCAGCTCTGTAAGTCCTAATAAAGTAACTAATTTTGGAATAATGGTCATACTTCTGAATCCTTTTGAAGTGAGCTGTATGACTTGGGGAGGTTTTGATTAAATTTTAGTAAAAACAACAACATCCAACTTCATTTAAAAATTACTTATATTGAAAATAAACTTGGGTCTGGTCTTTCTATAGCATAACCAGTAAATTTTGAATTTTGTTATATTTCATAAATTAATTTCTTTAGTAAGGCCAAATATTGAGACTAAAAAATTGCCATCAGATTGGCTCATAAAATGACTCATCTGAATCTTCCTTATATTTTTCATTCCTCTCTTGAAGCGTCTGTTTTCTCTGCCTAGCTCATTTACATTTTTTTCCTTCTTGTCACTCCTTCAAAGACAAAAAGTAGATTCATTATCAATTGACTCTTTTTACTTTTGTCTTATTCCTGAATTCATTTTTTTTCCCTATGATGTTATTTTCATAGTGGGAGTGAAAATTTTTACCTTTATTATGTTTTGAAAAAATTTACCTTTAGGTAATTTTTAGTAATCTGGTTTATTTTTAGTTATTAGAATTGTTTTAAAAATGTAATCACCTCATATTTATATCTGAGATAGGCTCTTGTTCATTATTTTAGCTTTTCATCCTACATGCAACTTAATGCCTTAATACTACCTTCAGGATGACACTGGAAGTTTTTTTATAGAGAAGAATGTGTTTTAGGACATAGTGATAAACTCATAACACACACTAGATTAATTTTTCATGTATTAAGGACACAGTTACATTTCTATAGCTAGGTTTTCATATTCAATACGCTTACTGATATGCACCTGGCTTTGTTCTGTTTTGTTAACTATACAAAGTAGGACTGCATGGGTAAGGAAATAGCCACTGAGGAATCTTTTTGGATTATCTATTCAAGTCCTTTTTTTCATGAGGTAACTTTCTACTTTTCATTTGTTACTGGACACCTTAAAGGACATTCACTATAATGCTGTTTTCTTAGATACCAAATCAGTTATCAGCTACAAATATTTTCTCTGTTGTATATTCTATTTTATTTCTCCAAGAAATTTATTTTAAAGTGCACGTTTAACAACTATTTAAAATGTATAACCAATGGAGTCAGATATAGCAATATCAGAAAAATAAAGCCAATAATTTTTCATCGCTTTATTTTTTTTCTTTATTGAATTTATTGAGATGACATTGGTTCACAAAACCATACAGGTTTTACGTGTACAACTCAACAAAACGTCTGTGCTCTGCTGGTGTGCCCTTCGCCTAAAGCAGTCTCTATCTATCCCCATTTTCTTCCCCTATGCTCACCTCCACTAGCCTCCACATCCCTTTTCCCCTCTGGCTAATACCACACTGTTGTTTGTGTATACATAATGTGTTTTGGTTTTTTTTCTTAATCCCTACACATCATTGATATATTTTTAATGAAACACTAATGTTGCCCTGATGGATGTAAACCTGCACCTCTAACTCTTTTCCTGCTGCTAGGGGGCTAGGTTTTCCCTAGCTGTTAAAACACTAGAAAAAAGTCTTGATTTTTTTCAGAGTTTTGGCAAACCATGCAGACCCCTCCTCGGTGTTTAACTTATTTCTCAGGATATTAATGCCTTTAAATATTCTGGGAAACCAAATTCAGATACATAACATTTTAATTGTAAATTTTAAAAACCTTCAAGGATAAAGCAGGTCACAACAGCCTGAATTTTATGTGACCTTCTTAGCAATATCTATATCTAGAGTTCTTTCCATTATTTCAAGTTTTTCTTTACATGTGCAAAATTTGATGTTTTAAATTGCACATTGATATAAGAATATTTATTTCTAGTATACCTTTATGAACTTATAACATTTTAAATATCGGTAGTCAGTAATGGAGAAATAGGAAAACATTTCAATGCATTTTTACAATCCTTGGGCTACTTTACTTTCAAAGATTACAGAATGAGATTTTTTAGTAATTTTAAAATATATATTTTTATTGATTTCAGAGAGGATGGGAGAGGAAGAGAGAGATAGAAACATCAATGATGAGAGAGAATCATTGATCGGCTGCCTCCTGCATGCCCCCTACTGGGGATCAAGCCTGCAACCCAGGCATGTGCTCTGACCGGGAATCGAACTGTGAGCATCTGCTCACAGATCGATGCCCAACCACTGAGCAACACTGGCCAGGCTATTTAGTAATAGTATTAGAGCACTGGAAATATGAAAAATTTGTATAAAAAGAGAGAGAGTTGCACCTTGTAATAAAGACACTTTAAAAATGTTCAAGTAGAATTCTAGTATATTTCAGGAAGAAGGAAGATTAGGGAAGTATTGTGGGTTATTAAAGAAAACATATTTTGGATTTTGATCAGTGCATCTATCATTACCCACTTTGTGACTTTTGGCAAATTATTTCATGTCTCTGAGCTTTAGTTTCCTTATTTTTGTAAATTACTGGTAATATCTCATTCAATCGTTGTTTGAATTAAATAAGCTAATATATGTAAAGCACTAGTACAGTGCCTGCAACATGGTAGGTGCTCAATAAATATCATCCTCTGTTTAATCCAAAGGTATGATATAATAACTGATTTTCATTCGTTCTGGAGAGTCTCTCTCTGGAAAAGAGAAGACTCAACCTATTTTTAAGACTGCATCTGTGAGTATAACTATCCCAGTATAAAGAGTTCAATCTTTTCATGGTAACCTGCTATAAAGAGAAACTTTGGAAAATGTTTTCTTTTCAGTAAAATAATGGCAGTGTTAGCTATTTATTGATTGATTGCTTACTGTATGCCAGTACTATTCTAACTTCTTTATGCAGATTAACTCATTCATTCCTCACAACAAACATGTTAGGTGGGTACTATTATCATCCCTATTCTAATGGGATGCAGAAACTGAAGCCAAAGAGATTAACCTGCTCAAGTTTATGCAGCTATTAAATTTTTGGATCTCGCCCTGGACGGTGTGGCTCAATTGGTTGACCATCGTCCCATCTACCAACAGGTCATCAGTTTGATTCCTAGTCAAGGCACATACCTGGCTCAGTCCCCACTAGGGGGTGTGCAGAAGGCAGCTAATCAATGTTTCTCTCTCACATTGACGTTTCTCTCTCTTCCTCTCCCTTCCTCTCTCTGAAATCAATAAAAGCACATTTTTAAAAAATACTGTTTTTAAAAAAGATAACTTTAGCCTTAGTTGGTTTGGCTCAGTGGACATCAGCCTACAGACTGAGGGGTCCTGGGTTCCATTCCTATCAAGGGCACATGATCGGGTTGTGGGCTTGATCCCCAATAGGGGATGTGCAGGAGCTAGCGATCAGTGATTGTCATCATTGATGTTTCTATCTTTTTCTCCCTCTCCCTCTCTGAAATAAATAAAAATATACAGTGGGGCCTTGACTTACGAGTTTAATTTGTTCCGAGACCGAGCTCGTTAAGGAGCTTGTTAACTCAAATTACTCTGTCAACTCAATGCAAAAAATCGGCTGAGAGGCAGCTGGTATCTCAAAAAACTCGTTAGTTGGGACACTCATAAGTCAAGGCCCCACTGTATATTTTAAAAATAAATAAATAAAAATAAGGGGATTGATTATTTTAAAAAAACTCATATTTTAAATTTTGGATCTGGGGTCCAAAGCTAGGCAGTCTGATGCTAGGATCTGAATTCCTAACCACTTGTCATGGTTAAAACATTTTTTTTCATAGATTTCACTGGATGCATTATATAATGGTAGAACTGTTTGGAGAGTATTTCATACTTATTTTATCCTTAAAAACACCTCCTCCTCCAAGTGTGTGCTACTATTAAAATGATTGAAATAATTATTTTGGAATTCCAAATATGTTCTGATATTTTCAACAAAAAGAAATTACATTTAATAACAGTTAATGTTTGGTTAGAAAGATACAAAAATGTTTAGGTGCTAAGAAATCATTTATAAAATTAGACATGACACTATTAAGTGACCTTTAAAATTAATTTTGTATCATGTTTTCAATAAACAAAGCACCTAACTGACTAAATATATTTTATTGCACCCACAAAGGAAAGTACTCTTTTCCAAGATAAAAGAGGGGAGTACCTTGAATGCTATAGAGCAGTGGTTCTCAACCTTCTGGCCCTTTAAATACAGTTCCTCATGTTGTGACCCAACCATAAAATTATTTTCGTTGCTACTTCATAACTGTAATGTTGCTACTGTTATGAATCATAAGGTAAATATCTGATATGCAGGATGGTCTTAGGCGACCCCTGTGAAAGGGTCGTTCAACTGCCAAAGGGGTCGCGACCCACAGGTTGAGAACCGCTGCTGTAGAGGTTTATTTTGGTTGATGGACTTTGTATTTTGAATTCGTTCCAGCTGTATTACAGTGCTGCTCTCCTTCTACCCACATGGACGCTCTCAGCAGTTGTGTCACTCCCACTGCCTCTACCTATGCACACTGCAACTACTTCCAGGTAAGATCTTGGAACAATGGACATACTCTGTGTATCAGATGCAATAGTATGAACCTTGTAGAATTTCAAAGTGTAATTTTACCTTAATGAGTAACCACAGGTAAGCTATGGATTATGGCCTCAGTTTTCGCAATTCTAAAAATAGAGAGTTGACATAAAATGATGTCTGAGGATTCTTCTAGGCCTGCACTGTCCAATATAGTAGGCACTAGTCACATGTGGTTATTAAAATTAAAATTAAATAAAATTTATTCCTCGTCATACCATATTTCAAGTGCTCTGTAGTCTCATAGGCTATTTGGAACATTTATTCTTGGTGCTCCCATGGCAAAATGAATAAATACCAGGTAACTCTTAAAATATATGTCACCAAATGACAGATTGTTTCGAGGTGGTGTACTTTTTTTTAAAATTTCTTTATTGGTTAAGGTATTACAAATGTGTCCTCATTTCCCATTAACCCCCAACCTGTCCCCTCCTCCCCCCCACTCATGCTCTCATCCCCCTGTTGTCCATGTCCGTCGGTTTGGCTTATTTGCGTGCATACAAGTCCTTTGGTTGATCTCTTCCCCTTACCCCCTTCCTCCCCTACTTTCCCTCTGGGGATTGATAGTCTGATCGCTGTTTCTCTGTCTTTGGATCTGTCCCTGTTCATCAGTCTATGTTGTTCTCTATATTCCACAAATGAGTGAAATCATGAGTTATTTACCTTTCTCCATGACAGAATAGCTATCATCAACAAATCAACAAAGGACAACTGCTGGAGAGGATGCGGAGAAAAAGGAACCCTCCTGCACTGCTGGTGGGAATGAAGACTGGTGCAGCCACTGTGGAGAACAGTATGGAGTTTCCTCTAAAAAAGGAGCTCCCATTTGACCCAGTGATTCCACTTCTAGGAATATATCCCAAGAAGCCAGAAACACCAATCAGAAAGGATATATGCACCCCTATGTTCGTAGCAGCACAATTCACCATAGCTAAGATTTAGAAACAGCCTAAGTGTCCATCAGCAGATGAGTGGGTAATTACTTTTTTTTAAGGAGAAAAGAAAAATGATATTAAAAAACGAGAAATTTAAGTGGTGGTCCTTCAGCCTCCAAGTTGTAAACCATTACAATATACTGACCATTCGTGTACTCTCACCAATACCTACAGTCCAACTTATGCACTTATTTCCAAAATGACATCTGAAATCCTTTACCTTTAAAAATTTTGTTTACTTCAATTAGTTTCTCATTACTTATTATGAACCAGTTGTTTTAGATTGCTATTTCTAGATAAGATTAAATTCTGTGCTTTGTATTTTATGCTATAATTGCTTAAAGATTGGAATTATGTGTTTGCCTTTGATATTATGTAGCCAAAATAGCTTCCATTCTTAAGAGAATATCTTACTAGTGGCATTCCAAAAGAACATTCCTTTTTTTTTTTTTTGAAAAAGTCTACATGGGTGTCAAATTATAGTTAGATTGTTGTTTGGAGAGTATAGAAGTGGATCAGGGGGCTTAGTTGGACATTTAAAAAAAATAGTCTCCTTTTTTGTTTTTTATTTTTATTTTTAATATATTTTATTGATTTTTTACAGAGGGGAAGGGAGAGAGAGAGTTAGAAACATTGATGAGAGAAACACCGATCAGCTGTCTCCTGCACACCTCCTACGGGGGATGTACCCGCAACCCAGGTACATGCCCTTGACCGGAATCGAACCTGGGACCTTTCAGTCCGCAGGCCGACGCTCTATCCACTGAGCCAAACCGGTTTCGGCCCCTTTTTTGTTTTTTTTTATATATTTTTATTGATTTCAGAAAGGAAGGGGGGAAGAGAAAGAGAGAGAGAGAGAGTGCATGCGCAACATCAATGATGACAGAGAATCATTAATTGGCTATCTCCTGCACACCACTGGGGATCGAGCCCACAACCTGGGCATGTGCCCTGACTGGGAATTGAACCATGACCTCCTGCTTCATAGGTCAACACTCAACCACTGAGCCACATGGGCCAGGCTTAGTTGGACATTTTTAATGGCAGATATCATCAATCATGATAGTCCAATCTATTTATCTTTACTAGAAGGACATATCTGTTCACACAAAATGGATGCTCTTATTTGTGGATCCAGAACCCTCTCCCTGAATCATACTGGTGATATTCTAACAATGTTCATATCTTGATTATGTTTGTCTTAAATAATTTAAAACATCTTTAAAGACTTTTTCTTACTACAGGACAATGCATGTTTATTATAGGAAAATAAAGATAAGTAGACATAAAATTAAACAATTAAATTTACATTATTTGGCATTAGTGTTCTTTAAATTATTGACAGTCTTTTTAGTATATTTGGCAACATGGACAAACTACATGTTTTATTTAATCATAACTCTTCTGTATTTTAGGTTTATAATCTGAGATAATCAACAAACTTTTATTGAATGCCTGTTCTGTGCAAAGTTCTACATTTGGCAACATCAATTCATTACATTTTATTTAATCATTACTTTTCAGTATTTCATAGCATAGCTTGAGATCATTTATCACCAAACATGTAATTGAATGCCTACTCTGTGCAAAATACAATGTTTAAGAGAATACATCTTAAAGATCAATCTAGAAGTGACAGCTATTTTTAAATCTATTGTTTTATTATTAAAAATAATCTCAGGAACCAAAGGCCAGTCGATATTCCATCCATTTTTTTCTCAGATCATTTGGAACAGTACCTCCCCCTGAATCTATAGAAGCCTTGGTGGACTTGTGAGCATCTTGTGTTTGAAATTTCCTTACTACATTCCTATAGTAGTGTATGATAGATACAAATATATAATAGATACAAGTGATGTTTTTGTCTGCCAACCTATATGGAAGAACTTGATATATAGACATTTTATCAGCAAATTAAGTTTTGGGGTACTTTAGCCTTTTGATTTTGTATATTTTAGCCCTGAAAATGATTGATCCATTCCAGTATAGTGGTTAAACTTAGTATAGTGGTTGACACATAATAGTTGCTAAGTAAATGTTGAAAATAGAATTGAGGCTATCACTGCTGAAAAGTTGATTAGTGTTCAAGTTTTTTTAAAATAAGCTTTAAGTTTAATCTATGTTTAGCATTCATCAGTCTATATGCTGTTTCTTTCCTCCTTAACCTCATATTTGAATTTTCTATCCAAACAGTCCTATTTTCTCTTTTCCCAGAATCCTCCAATGCCATCCTCCTATCCAGTTGAGTTTCTGCCTTCTAATTGGCCTTGTGGTACTGCTGATGAAAATAAAAAGACAGAAGTAAACCTAGAGGCTGTTTTTCGGATCTTAGATGAATTGCATTCCTCCCCTAAATTGGAGATGGTAAAGGTGGAGCCTGTTGAGAATCAGTGCCCAACATCTCAGTCTAACAGAGGCCAACATATCCTAGCCAATTCAAGCAATAACAATCCATCTTCCACAAGTCAGGCTAGCCAGCTGGAGCCACTTACTCCTGTAGGTTCAGATATTACATCTTTTGTGGTCGGATCAGAACAAGCAATGACCTGCTCTCTACCACAGTCACCTGAGTACATGTATGCCATCCACACAGCTCAGCCTGTTGAAAATACTACAATGCAGGAATCTGCAGCCATCCAACAAGCTCATGTCAAACTGAAGGAGCATCTAAGTCATAATCCATCTCCACCTTCAGTAGTATTTGTGCAGGAAGGGCTACCGTTCAGCCCACACCAGGTAAGGGGAAAAGAAGAAGTGCTAATAAAGCTTAAGTACCTAGTTTTCTTGCTGTTCTAGTGGAGAGTTTGTGCAGATTTTATTTGGCTTTCTAGAAGGATCCTGTCCCAGTGGTTCTGCACAAAAGATTCAGAAAGAAGTAACCTTAACTCGCAGGCCTTTTCTCACGATGTTGTGGTCTGAAGTCAACCTCTAGACAGCCAGTCTGAGCACTGTGGTTTAAGACTTATTTACATGTTAAAAGCTTTCCTTGAGTTTTGCTTCCTATCTTGATTTGGATGGACGAGGTATGCTTGGCTGATTGAATTCCACTACTCAGAAGGGATGGTTTATCTGACAGATAATATCAGGACTTCCTAGCCATTTGTAGCATGGAAATAAGGAGATGGTTGGAAATCTTTTTATACTTTCTTACAGCATTACTGAATTCTAATTGACTTGTGAGTACTCTGAACTTCCTTACTAATATTCTCAAGGTAGAGGCTAATTCTTTATTGCTGCTAGTTTTTGACCAGAAAATGAGTAAACTTCAATTCTAAATAAAAGTACATATATTTAAAATCCGTTTTTAGAATTAACTTAATAAGCTTTATTGCATTATATAGTTCTATTTTAAAATAAATTCATAAAGAAATAGAGTATTAAAAAACACACAAAATAGAGTATTTCAGAATTTGGTTATCTTGACAAAGGGATTTGACATTCCAACGAAAACTTAGGAGCTCTAAGAAAGAAACTCATATCTCATAAGCAGGACAGATCTAGATTTTATAGGGACTAAGAGCCTGTTGAAGACAAAGAATACAGAATTAGGAGAACTAAGTGTCCTCACTGATAATCCAACAGGGTTATGCCTATGGCCACTGCAGTATAACCAACCGAGGGGCAACCTGATGAAAAGGGTTGCTAGACTGGAAAAAGATAACTTTAACCAATTGTAAATTTTTGTGTGTGTGAATTTTACCAAAAAAAAAAATTAGTAAGTTTCGTATAAGTAAATGTTTTGGTTCCACATACATTTTAACAGTCTGTGTATAGGGAAATATACATTTTACTACTGAATATTCAGATTAAATCAACAAAATCAAAGATAATATCATTCATAAGGATGTTTACAAGTACATTTGTTGGGTCATGTTTCTATAATAGAACTCCTCTGATAATTTGATAGAAATTCAGAATAATGAGTGGATTTAATATTTTAGGTGGATGCCAGTATAAAATGCCAGACCAATCCACCTGAGAATATCTTGCCTTCAGAACAGATGGGATTCCTTATTTCAGAGATGGGGCCTGCTAGCAAGCCTAGTAAAGACACAGATTTATCCACTCCAGTCAGATACAGGGAGCGAAGAAGCAGCTCACAGCAAGGAAAGTCCCCTGGTAAGGATTACTGTGCTCTAGAATGTTAGAAGTAGAACCATGGTGTAGAATTAACATATGAACAACAATTTTTCTGGATCTTTATTATTTATTCATTGTATTTTACTTATGACATTGCTACTTTACATAGCTGTAATTTTAACTGTTTTTCTTAATTATCCTTGTAAAGTATGTAAAAGTTTTTTTTTAGAATATTTCATGTAAGAATTTGAGCTTTCAAAAAGATAGTACATACTAAGTAAAAGCAAAGGAATTTGGGTTATTTAACTTGGAGAAGGCAAGGATGAAAGGTGATTTCATAATTGCTTCTGATTCCATAGACTTTGTAATTATAGTTGTACTTGTTCTCTTATTAACAGGCTTAAATATGGCAGGAAAGTGTTTAAATTATGGCAGGAAAATATTAGATGAACATTAAAAACATTATCCTGAGCATATTATAAAGATAGTATAAAGTATGGCTCTATCACTGGGATTGCTTCTCCTGCAGTTTGTAGGAGCCCAGAATTAATTACTAGGCAGAAAAGTTGTGAAATATTGGCAATATTATGACATCTGATTACATTTTCATTTTAATAGGGTCAGGGAACTGCCAAACTGTTGTGTGTTTTTTTGTAACAGCTGACCCATTTTACATTCCCAACAACAATATACAAGCTTCCCATTGTTCCACATCCTCTCTAACACTTGTTATTTTCCACTTTTTATTATTATTGTAGCCATCCTGGTGGGTATGAAGTGCTTTCTCATTGTGGTTTTGATTGTATTTCCTAATGGCTAACCATATTGAGCATCTTCTCATGTGCTAGTTGACCATTTGGAGAAAAGATAATTTTTTGACAACTATTATACCAATATTTTATTTGATGAATTCTCCTGTTTTGGTAAAATTTCTCTTGAGTATAGCAGTTGGTAAACTATGCCCCATAGACCAAGTCTATCATCTGCCTGTTTTTATGTGGCCTGCATGATGAGCATGGTTTTTACCTTTTAAATGGTTGGGGGGAAATCAAAAGAAGAATATTTTACGACACACACACGATACGGAATTCAAATTTCAGTGTTCATAAATAAAGTTTAATTGGAACACACAGCCGCAGGCATTCATTTGCATATTATCTATGGCTGTTTTTACACCACAGTAGCAGAGTTGAGCAGTTACAATAGAGGCCAGCCATATGGCCCACAAAGCCTAAAATATTTAATATCTAGCTCATTACAGAAAAAGTTTGCTTGTCTGTATCTTGTTCTGTTCAGGCTGCTATAACAAAAATACCATAGAGTAGGTGACTTATAAACAACAGAAATTTATTTCTCACAGTTCTGGAGGCTGGGAAGTCTAAGATTAAGGCACCAACAGATTCATTGTCTGGCGAGGGCCCAGTTCGTGGTTCATAGATGGCCGCCCTCTTACTGTGTCCGTTCATGGCAGAAGGGACAAGGGAGCTCTCTGGGATTTCTTTTATAAGGGTACTAATCTCATTTATAAGGGCTCCACCCACATGCCCTAATTACTTCCCAAAGGAACCATCTTCTAACACCATCACATTGGGGGTTATGTTTCAATGTATAAATTGGGCATTCAGTTTATTGCACCTTGTATTAGAAAGTCTTTGTGCTTAGCTTCTGATCTTTTCACAGCCCTGATCATTGATGACCAGAGAAGCCCTTAAGAGAGTAAGAAGGTACTTGTGGAGAGGGTTCACAATGGACTAGTATTCAGTTTAGTTCTTGTAGATGCCCAAATGTTTTTTATTGCCATAGCTGGTTTGGCTCAGTGGATAGAGTGTCAGGCTGTCTGAAGGGTCCCAAGTTTGATTCTGGTCAAAGGCTCATACCTCAGTTGTAGGCTCGATCCTCAGCCCTGGTCGGGTGTGTGCGAGAGGCAACCAATCGCTGTGTCTCTCTCACATCCATGCTTCTCTCTGTCTCTCCCCGTCCCTTTCACTCTCTCTAAAAAACAAACAAAAACAGTGGAGAAAACATCCTCAGGTGAGGATTAACTGAAAAACCAAAACCACAAATGTTTTTTATTTTGATAGATACTGAACTCCAAAGGTAAATGATTAAATGATAGGAACCAAATATAAAATTTCAACTGTCACTATCATTAAGAGTAATGATAGTAGTGGAGCTTCAATAAGGTTCCAGCTCTCACCCTGGCTGGGTAACTCAGTTGATTAGAATGTAGTCCCTATATCAGTGATGGCGAACCTATGACATGCGTGTCAGAGGTGACACGCGAACTCATTTTTTTGGTTGATTTTTCTTTGTTAAATGGCATTTAAATATATAAAATAAATATCAAAAATATAAATCTTTGTTTTACTATGGTTGCAAATATCAAAAAATTTCTCTATGTGACACGGCACCAGAGTTAAGTTAGGGTTTTTCAAAATGCTGACATGCCGAGCTCAAAAGGTTCGCCATCACTGGCCTGTATGCCAAGGTTGCAGGTTCAACCAATGAATGCATAAAGAAGTGGAACAACAAATCAATGTTTCTCCCTTCCTTGCTCTCTAAAATAAAAATAAACAAACAAACAAACAAATAAATAAAGGTTCCAGCTCTCATAATACATTATATTTTTAAGAAACCACCTTCAAGACTTCTTTGGCTCCAAATTCTGCTACTCCTTCTACCATTAAATGTGGGAATGTCATTATGTTGCTCAGTATCCTGTTGAACAGGAGCATTCTGTATTCCAGAACTTATCAGAGCCCTCTATAACTGACCTATTTTGAAAATCTGCTCTGTTTAGGGTAGGGGCATCTCCTCATACTTCAAGATTTCTTTGAATTTTTTTTTTAATAAGTGACTTCAATTAGATTTGTATCCACATGTTGATCTCAAAAGATATGCATTTTGTTAGAAGGAGGTTGTTAATCAGGCATTGCCATGCTTTTGAGCACATTTAGACTTAAGGAAATAAGTTATGGATTAAAAATACCAAGAGTTAAATCAAATTAGACTCAATCATGTACCTCAAATTTCTATAATGATATTACCCTAAACTGAATATACCCAAATAGTAATCTTATTGTGGAAGCTACACTGTCCTATATTCTGATGGGATATTTATAGTTAAGGGAAACTGAATGTTTAAGAGTTCAGTTCATTCCTGAAGAAAGGAATTTTGTGCCTGTTGGATTATGGGTGAAATTTCATTAAAGTAATAGCCCCAAGACCCTGGAGAGTGCTTGCAATAAGAATTAACATTCCCAGCCCTAACTGGTTTGGCTCAGTGGATAGAGCGTCAGCCTGTGGACTGAAAGGTCCCAGGTTCGATCCTGGTCAAGGGCATGTACCTTGGTTGCGGGGACATCCCCAGTAGGGGGTGTGCAGGAGGCAGCTGATCGATGTTTCTCTCTCATCGATGTTTCTAACTCTCTATCCCTCTCCCTTCTTCTCTCTGTAAAAAAATCAATAAAATATATATTTTTAAAAAGAATTAACATTCCCAAATAAATACAGTGCCCTTGTCCCTCAAGGCCTTTCAGCTCTCAAACCAACGAAGGTGCTGTGATTCCCAAATACTCACCTTCTCTGAGGAGTATGCAAGGTTCTCTTCTGAATGAAGTCATATAAACCTCTATTAGCACCAGGCTGGTGTATGTCTTTTTGTGTTTTTATTGGTCTATAGATTCTAACTCCTTTGCTAATTAAGGAAACTCACTTTAATAAAATTATTGTTTAGATGCTTGTTATTAGAAGCTGTGTGCCAAATGCTACTTTAAAGCCAAGCATTAAGATTAAGAGGGTTTGTTGCTCACGCTAATTTACATAACTCACTTCAAGGCTGTTATAGAGCCTTATATCTACTGTTATTTTAAACATGCCTATCTGTGATATGCTCTTGTCCATAATTTGAACCTATCAATATAATAGAGTCTTAAGTAGTTAAATAAATGACATTTGTTCACTGAAAAAAAAAAAAAAGAGTTTGTTGCTTTTGTCCTTCAGCCTCCCACTGCATAGTTGCTTTAATAGTATTTACCTTTGTCATGATCAAGAATTACTGCTCTGCTTTCAAAGTTGGGTTACAATGGGGTCTATTCATATTCCAAAAGCTTATGTTAGTATTTTCCATTACGATATGGCCTGTCCTTTTTGTCTGATATGGAGCTGAGGTGTTCAGAGAACGATCATAAGTAGGTGTTTCTCTTTCTACATCTTGTGGTCAGCTTTCAAAAGATGTCACTCTGGCTAGTTGGAGCACCATTCTGTCCACTGAAGGGTCGTGGGTTTGAGTCCCAGTCGAGACACATACCCAAGGTTGAGGGTTTGATCCCCATGCAGGGCGCATATTATGAGGCAATTGATCAATGTTTATCTCTCACATTGATGTTTCTCTCTTCCTTACTCTCTCTCTAAATCAATGAAAGCATGACCTCGGGTGAGGATTAAAAAAAAAAATCCTGATACCGAGGTTGCACTTTATACCAACTAAATCAGAATGTATGGGGTAGGAGCCATGAGCATCAGTATTGTTTTTAAGGATTGCAATGTGCAGCAAGGTTTAGAAACCACTGACTTTACTTGTTAGCCATATAGCTTAATGGTTCTTTCCCTGAGTATCTATTTACTCCTCCGTATTAATTAGATGACCTTATAGTAGTGAATTTTAGTTACTTGAAAAAAAGATGTGATATATATATGTATATTAGTACCATTATCATTATTTAGACTGTAAAGAAGCCATTTTGTGGTAAGATATACATAATATACAATTTACCATTTTAACCATTTTTATGTGTACATTTCAGTTGCATTAAGTACATTCACATTGTTGTACTACCATTAGCATCTCCAGATCTTTTTTTCATCTTTTCGAACTGAAACTCCGGATCCATTGCACAGTAACTCCCTTCTCTGCAGCTCCTGGCAACCACCATTCTACTTTCTGTCTCTATACATTCGACTACTCCTGGTACTTCATATAAGTGTAATCACATAGTATTTGACCTTCTGTGACTGACTTATTTCAATTAGTGTAATGTCTTCAAGGTTCATTCATGTTGTAGTATGTGTTAGAATTCTCTTTCTATTTGAACCTGAATAATATTCCATTGCATGTATGTGCTACGTGCAATACATGCAGTGAATTATTATTGTTTACCCATTCATTTGTTGATGGGCAGTTGGATTGCTTCCACCTTTTGTCTATTGTGAATCATGCCGCCATGATCATGGATGTGCAAGAAGCCAATTTACCATTAAACTGATGGTCTATTCTTCCTCTGTAAGATACTCATCTGGATGAATTGCTTGCTCTTTATGTATCGATTATAGGTGGACTTCACTAGATGAGCGAGTGCCTGCCCTTAGTGACTGGTTTGTTTTTTTTACAAAATATGGCAAAAATGATGTACTATTTCAGATGCTTTCTAGATTTTTGGAGGTGGTAGTAGAATTATTTTATTGAATCCGCTCTCTCACTCAGGCTGTGGATTAATCCCACAGAGGCTGTGTTCTACAAACATAGTGACAAAAGTCTCTGTCCAGAATGAAATAAAGGATTTGTGCTGTATAGTTTTAGTTTAACTCTAAAATGTCACTAGGGCAAAATTGTAAGCTTCAAAACCAACCTAAAAAGGCTCCCTAGCCTTGTTATGAGTTTATAAGTTTGAATCTAGAAGTCTCATTAGCATCCTTTTATTTCTGTCTGTTACTCACATAAGCCATTTAGTCTACATCTATACATGGTCTTAGCTTTTTGTGTTACACAACCTCGTACCTGAGCTGAAAGCTTAGTTTTTTACCTTTTTTCAGTTCTTATTTATTTATTTGTAATTATTATTTTTTAATTGATTTCAGAGAGGAAGGGAACGGGAGAGATTAGAACATCAATGATGAGAGAGAGTCATTGATCAGCTGCCTCCTGCACGTCCCCCCTGGGGACTGAGCCCACAAATCAGGCATGTGCCCTTGACCAGAATCGAACCCGGGACCCATTAATCTGTAGGCCAATGCTCTATCCGCTGAGCCAAACCGGCTAGGGCACTTCTTTTCATTCTTAATGAACCAACTATTCTTTGCCTCCTGACCTCTGTCAGGAGGGTATGCTTTTTTTTTACAGACAAGTTCAGATAGATGTTTTTATAAGAGATCAGCTATGTTAGTCAATAAGTGAAAAATTGATGGGGCATGCAACTTGGAAAAGTAGTGATTACCTATTTTAATATTGTATTTCTGAAGGTATTACTTTTCATATTCCCACAACCCACCCACTTATTCTTATAGCATCAAAAAAATGAATTTTCATGTCTATTTTTCAATTGATCCCTTTGACACTTAACTTTTCACTTAGAATTAAAGGCATTTTAAATGAAAAAAGGCTTGGCCACATCACTAAAGGGATAGAAATTTTAAACTTCGTTGGTCTTGTTGGGTTAACAAATGGGCTGCATCTATGTGCTTTAGAGGTACAGGGATGCCCTTACATGGAGAATCTGATAAGATAATGATTTAAGACACATAAGCAACTTGTTCTTCTTGTCTGAAGACTTGTCTCTTGAACCCTACAGTCTGAGAGGCTAAGAGTAAGTAAACAAACCTTTCTTTCTAGATCTTCATCTGCTGGTGGATGTGGCCTGCAAGCAAGAGCACTTTCCAAAGGAGGAAGAATTAAAAGAGTGAGGCATGGATGACACGTGACATTGTGCACTAGCTGTAGCTGGAAGCAGACTAGCCTTGCACGTGACACACTGTTGGGATTTTTTCAGTTCTGTTAAGGAAAAATATATTTATGTTTTGTTAATTGAGAATTTGGTTAATTGGAAATTTGGTATTTATTACAACTGTTCAGTTCAGATTATTTACCTTGACAAACTACTAAACATCTAGCAGCCATTTTTTTGTTTGTTTTTTGCTGCTCGGATCCCTTTCAATGAAAAGTCCTGGCCTTCTGTTACAATCAAGAAGCATCTAAAAACTGCTGCATCTATGGTACTGGAGGATAATGTGTGTGTGGATGTGTGCTGGTTTGTTATCTTGCCCCTCTCAAATTATGATCAGCACAACTCCAGTGGGGACTTCATTCTATCTGTTTCACGTCACAGTGTGATTCTTTTAGAGACGTTTGTGTGAGACACAAAGGCATGTAAGGTCACCAAGACCGCGGGTCTAAATGGTTCAGGAATTCCAGGGAAGAAACTCTGGGAAAGAGCTGATTTTCTAAGTGATTAACTAGGAAATGCTCTTAACTTTCTAACCCAGCATTCTGTTTCAAGAGCAAGGCATCCGGACTTGGACCATCCATCACACTTAACAGCTTCTAATTATTTTATATTTATGGGAGCATTCTTCTATTTTCATATCTTTCTTTAATTTTAAATGGTACATTATTATAAATGATAAGGTTTTGTTAATATATCACTTATTTAAATGTCTCCTAAAGAAAAGTATTCATCTGGTTTAATATATTTATAAATGCTGGTAGATTTTTAATGTTTTAAAGCTTTATATTTTTATTAATATTTCAAGATAGAAGGATAAAGGATGCATGTGTAATATTTTTACTTTGAGGGGAAAATGTGCAATGTGCGCACAAAAACATTAAGAGATTTAACACAGTGCTTTCTTATTTTAGATTTTTTTACATCCTGTAAGTATAAATTATCATCTATATAAGATATTGTTTGCAAATTTTGGGAGAAACTGATTAGAAGTCAGTTAATAGAAGCTTTACTGCTGATATTTTTAATAGTTTGTTTGTTTTAAGCTTCTGAGAGAATTTTGGATAGTGGGATATATTATAACATTTTTATCTTGTCCCCTCTGTAGGATTCTAGATTCGAGTAGGATTGTGGGACTGGTTTTTAATAGACTAGGTATCTTGGTTGTCCACTTTCTGTGTTTGATCCCACAATTGTTCATCCAAGGACAGCAGGAAACTCTGATTTAACGTCTTTGAAATTCACTAGAACTTTCTTACTGAATTCTGCTTTAGTTTTCCTAATAAGCACTGCAGAAACAAAAGGAAAGGCTAGGAATATGAAAGTAATTAAAAAGAAAACGCACTTGGTGATATGATAAGAGTACTGTGTTAACATTGTGGGTATAACAATTCATTAAATTGCATTGTGCCTTCCCAATGATGTCAAACCCTAGAAGTGTTACAGAGATAGTAGGTTTTTGTTTGTGTTTTTTAGAGGATGAGCTCTGTATGGTGACTCAGTTTGCTATGAAAATAGGTTCTGAAAAGTAATCTATTTGGTCCATCTGATTCTATAAGTTGATATCTATGTAATGGGCATTTATTCAACTTTATTAGCAAGGTTTAAAAGATGAACAGATTATCAAGACTCCTACATCTTTTGGCCAGACTCTGTCTTTTGGCAGAGTATGTGAAGAGGAGACCCAATTTCTAAATGAAGGAAGTTTACTTTTTCTCTGTCATGTTGAAAAGCCAATATACCGTGGTGATATTTCTTCCCTTAAATATGCCTTTCTTACCTTTGTATATGTTGAAGGAAATAATATCTTTTGAGGAACATGTGTCAAGTAGGAACCTTGGCATGGATTTGGTTTCAGTGGTTTTAAGGCTTAATAAAATGAAATGTTTTTATCAGCTTTCCAAACTTTTTTCTGTATATGAATACAACAGACCAAGGAGCTAGATCTCCCACTGTTCTCATATGCCTACTGCCTATCAACTAAAGCTATTATCACAGACTTCGGTAAAATGGAAAAAGATAAAATAAAATCTTTGTGTGAATTAGGCAGTAGGGTCTGGCACATACTAAAAAGGTTCCTGACTAGCACCTCAGTGTTTCAGCACCTTTAGCATGATAAATTTCAATCAGTCAACAATAAAGTGAGTGTTTCAACTTGACTTGTGTCTTGATTGTTTTTACAATTGGTGATTATTAGAAACCTCAGTCATTATGATTTTTAATCGTAATAATGAAGTTCAAAAGAGAATGTACTCTTTTTAAAAGAATCTGACTTTTTCAGAAAATGTGTACTGGCTTTCTAATTTTTAAATTGGCAACTTGAATAGAGATTTTTAAAATTCCATTAAGGATGAGGACAATTCTTTTTTTAAAAAAATATTTTTTATTGATTTCAGAGAGGAAGGGAGAGAAAGAGATAGAAACATCAATGATGATGAGAGAATCATTGATTGGCTGCCTCCTGCATGCCCCCAATAGGGATGGAGCCTGAAACCTGGGCAGGTGCCCTGACTGAGAATTGAACTGTGACCTCCTGGTTCATAGGTTGACGCTCAACCACTGAGACATGCCAGCCAGGCAAGGATAAGGACAATTCTTGGCCATGTTTTTAGAAACCTAGTTTTTTGGAAGAGGATGTATGGTCTTCAGTAACTGTAATCCATCCAGATGTGAAAGTAGATCCCGAGGGATGACTTGTGAGACTAGGTGGTAGGTGTCAGGGAGGTGGCGGTTCACCACCACAGTGATGGCATCTCTGAAGGCTGTGGTATGTCAACCCCTGAGAGATAACTCCAAAACTTTAAAGCCAAAGAATAATTTATATTGCTTGTCAATTTTGGTGACATAAATACAGTATATCAGTAAACTGAATCACATAGAGCTGTTTGGTTTGATCCGGAGTATCTCAGCGTTCCCAGGCTCATGATACATATTATCATCATTCCAAGATCTTGGAGTTTCCTTAAAATAGGGCAACCACATTTATATTTTTTTCTTCTTTCAACTAAGTGTATGTCTGAACTCTTAGGCTTGATTTTCTTAATTCCTTTGTAAGATTCAAGTAGGAATAAGTTAGGCAAAGCCCATAAGTAGCTTCCTTTTTGTTTAGTTAACTTTCAATATAATTTGGCATATGTCATATATAGTAATGTTTAATTTGCATTATTTATGCTTTACTATTACATGGCATACATAAAATAAAAATATTAAACCATAACAGACTTTATTTTGTATTTTTAAAGTTTTCATGTATAATACACAAAAGCAAAAAAGTTTATCTTTAAAAATATCAAGTATCACATCCATAGTCTAGTCCAGTGGTCGGCAAACTGCGGTTCTCGAGCCACATGCAGCTCTTTGTCCCCTTGAGCGTGGCTCTTCCACAAAATACCACGTGCGGGCGCGTATGTACAGTGCAATTGAAACTTCGTGGCCCATGCGCAGAAGTTGGTATCTTGTGGAAGAACCACACTCAAGGGGCTAAAGAGCCACATGTGGCTCGCGAGCCGCAGTTTGCCGACCACTGGTCTAGTCCTAATTACAATTACTTCTTAAAGCAACATTTGTCTTTTTTTACAAATACAGCAGCAGGTGGTAAGACCTAAAGTCTCAAACACATTGCTTACAGTTCATAATAGAAACAAATGTATATGTCTCAAATCATATTTTAGGCAGTTTAACTTAAAATGCATAGACAATTACATACATTCAATTTATTTTTAAGTCAATGAAAAAAAAATAACACCAAGAAAAAAAATACAGAAAATCTTTATAGAGCACAAATAAATCAAGTTTACTTAATGGCAACAAATCAGTATCTGCTAATCAATGACAGACAGTGAAAGTGCCTTCATCCAGGGGAAAGTAAAGAGGAAAAACATCCCATTACTTTGCATGCTTGAAAAGTTATACTGACAAGACTATAATCTTGGGAAACATTAACTTCTTACTTGAAAAGAATAAAAGAAGGTATAGCATACTTTGCTCTTTAAAATGCCCAAAGGCTGGTCTATAATCACCAGTAGGAATACCAAAATATGTTGACGTAGGTTAAACTAATAATGGGCACACTAATGAATTCTGTAATGCCACCCCTAGACTGGGACCCCCTCAAGGACAGGCATTCTCTTTCATCTCTGTATCTCTGCATCTGGCAAAGCATTTGGATCACAGACATTTAAGTGCCTGTTTCTCAGAAATAGAGAAGATTGCCAGAAGATTGCATGGCATTTCTTTAATACTGATTATTTTATTGGGAGTTTTTATTTTACTTGGCAGAATTCTAAAAATAAACAATGTCTTCATACTAAATATTGCTCTATTAGGATTAAATGAGTCTTCCTTGAAACACCCACCACTTTCTATGCATAGGGCAGTGTGATTTGTCTGAATTTAACCTTCTGCTTTTCAAAAATGTTAATAAAGGAGCTGGAGGAGAGGACCATGGGAGAGCTCAAGGAGATTAAACAGCAAGGGCCAGGTTGGCTTGAGCTCTCCAAAATGACAGAGTAGCCAGACTATGATCTGGAGACCTTTGTGAACAAGGCGGAGCCTGCCCTGGCCCAGCAAGCAAAGCACTTCTCAGCTCTGCAGCTGGAAGAGCAGGCCAGTAAACAAATAGGCAGCAAGAAATGGCCCCAGTGATGACAGCAAATACAGATGTTTGGTTTAAAAAAAAAAGTCTTGAGGGAAGGCAGGGGAGGGTCAGTGGGTGGGAAGAGATAAATCAATGAACTTGTATGCATATATGCATAGCCTGTGGACACGGGCAATAGGGTGGTGAAGGCCTGATGTAGGGGTCAGGGGAGGGCTAGGAGAGGTCAATGGGGAAGAAGGAGGGCATATATAATACTTTCAACAAAGATTTTTTTAAAAGTAAAGTAAAAGACCAATAAAAATATTTAAAAAAATTTTAAAGTCTTGTCTGCTGCTGCATAATCAATATATAGCTTTAAACAAAACAGGGCTGAGGAATCAAAGCTGCAAGCAGCCATCCTCAATCATGAAAAAGTGTCAGGCCAAATCCAGTAAAAACAAGCCAAGATACTAAATTTAAGGTGTCTTGGATTCTTGAGAACTGAATGTGTGAATATAAGATCTATAGTTTAATTTTTTGTCATTTTTTAGGTTCAACATTTCAAAGTCTAACATTCAAATTCCAGAAACACTATTCTTAAACACATCTCAACTATCTCCATCAAATTTACTTTAAAATTCTTGTTCTTAAAAGTCCAAATGCCAGTGTATTCCTTACTTCACATTCCCTTAAGATTAACAAGTAGTCGTCCATAATCTTAGGCTAGCATGACTTACTTTTTAAAGCAAATTATTCCCTTGTAAAGAGAAAATAAATCTCCTTAGATGCTTTCCCCACTGAAACTTCTGATTTTATTTAAACTCCATCCTGTACCTAAAAATACTTTTTGCCCAGAGTACCCTCAAGAATTGAGACACCTCTCCCTGGATTTGAGAAAGGATGCTCTAAAGAATGACAAATATAAAAGCAAATTCTGTTCTCTTTGATTTTCATTAAAACATTTTTTTTTAAAATCCCCAAATATCAGTTGGAAAGTCCTTAGAAAGCAAAGGTTAAAATAGCAGTACTGTCTGCTCTAACCTGTTTGGCTCAGTGGATAGAGCGTCGGCCTGGGGACTGAAGGGTCCCAGGTTCGATTCCGGTCAAGGGCATGTACCTTGGTTGCGGGCACATCCCAGGAGGGGGCGTGCAGGAGGCAGCTGATCGATGTTTCTAACTCTCTATCCCTCTGCCTTCCTCTCTGTAAAAAATCAATAAAATATATTTTAAAAAAAATAGCAGTACTGTCTAGGGCAGTATGGGTCACTAGCAAAGTTAATATACATATTGGGAATAGTAATTCCAAATCTTGTGTTCATGTCCTTCAAATCCTTTAACAAAAGATTTTCTCCAATAACAAATGGGCTCCTCAGTTACAGACTTCCAAACTTGCTACCTCTTCTTCTTTTAGTCAAACATCCTTTTTAGTGTTACATTAATTATTGCATCTAAGGACAGAGTAGTCAACTTAATCTACTGCAGGACAACCAAAATAAGCATAAGGAGAGATATCTTTGCTGCCATCTTACTTTTCCTCATTTTATGCCTCCAGTTAGCTGACATGATACTGACTGATTATTTAAGATATGACACTTTCTAAGGCTACCTGCCTCGTGAATTGGAGGTTACCTTGACAACAGGCTCCCAAAGTGTTGTACAGGTGTATGTAGGTGCCACCTGGCCTTGCAAGGAAGTGAAAGATAAAAAGACCATTGGTGCCACTATGTAAGAAATGTCTAACAACATTCACCAGCCTGAAAATATCTAAACAAATTAGTTTCAATTCTGGAAGCTTGAATCTATCTTCTACTTTAAAGGGAGATTTAAACACTGAAATGTTCCTCCCAAAAGTGACCATCTTGTTTTGGTAAAAGGAGGTAGCTATCAAACTATTAAATTGGCAGCATTGGGCCCCTAACAGACTTTTAAAAATTTCTCTCTAGAAGAATTAGATCTATTTCTATTCTTTAGAAAGGAGCTATAGAGGTCTCTACTTGCATTATGTTCTTAATGTCCAACCAATGAAGAAAAAGTGCTAAGCTAAGAATTTACATTAGAATTTATCTCTCTGCTCTAGGTTAGCTTTATTAGGCCTAAAATGTCAAAACTATCCCCCATAAACCTTTAAAAATTTTGTATTGATTTTTAGAGAGAGAGGAAAGGAGAGGAATAGAGAGATAGAAACATCAATGAGAGAGGAACATTATTAATTGGCTACCTCTCCCATGCCCCACACTGGTCATTGAGCCCGCAACTCAGGCATGTGCCCTGATTGGGAATCGAATTGTGACCTCCTGGTTCATAGGTTGACGCTCAATCACTGAGCCACACCAGCTGGGCTCCCCAAAAACCTTCTTTAGGGAAAAAATGCTCAAGGTGAATAGACCACTCATAATTTTTTATTTTCAGAGGCATTATGTCATTTAATCTTTACAATAAGCCTACAAGGCAATTATTATCCATATTTTACAAATGATCAATTTGTATAATTCATTTGCACAATTAAAAAAAACTTTTAAGATTGATGTTATGTGCTTCTTACCACAATTTAAAGAAGCACATAAGAACCTGTTTTTTTTTGTTTTGTTTTTTTCAGTTGATCAGCAGCCTGTCCAGGATCTCTAGCCACAATCTCCAGCCAAGTTCTGTGTCCATGTTCTCTTGCTAGGTTCTCCAGCCACGTTCTCCAGGTTCTCCAGCCAGGTTCTGTAGCCATGTTCTCTCGCTAGGTTCTCCAGCCAGGTTCGGTTTAGGTTCTCCAGCCAGGTTCGGTCGCTAGGTTCTGTAGCCGGGTTCTTCAGCCAGGTTCTGTCTAGGTTCTCCAACCAAGTTCTGTAGCCAGGTTCTGTCCAGGATCTTGTGCCATGTTCTCTCCAGCAAACTTCTTCTGTCTCTAGGTTCTGTGTAGGTTCTGTCTTCTAAGTTCTGTCTTCTAAGTTCTGTCTCTAAGTTCTCAGAACCTGTTTTAAGTGTACAGTTCAGTAGTGTTAACCACATTCGCATCATTGTACATTTGTACAATTTGGAAAGATTACTGGCAGCAGGTCAGAAAATGTCTAGCCACAGTTAAAAATAATCTGGTAGATTTGAAGATTCGAATTTTAGAAACATATTAGAAGTGCATTATTTCTAATGACAAGGTTCCTGGAAAGGTTTTAGTTCATGAATGTGATAATTAGCTGAAAATTAGTTTTCTTTTTGCCTACCTTCTTATTAGACATATATATTTTACCCCTTTGCTTGTACTCTTGACATAGACTTACTTGCAGCCTTACATTGAGGGCATAGATCTGGTCCATAGTATTATTGCACCTCCCAAAGATGTGAGAAAATGACAGATTCCAGACCTCTGACATCAACCTGATCTAAAAGTTCCATTGAGGCACGGGTTAGAAACGAGCTATTAAATTTAAATTAGTAAGAGCTGAAGAAAAACTATGCATAAAATAGAGTTCTTGCCAGGGTAGTAGACATAAGAGCAATAAGTCAGTAAGCATTAAAACACAGGTTCATTTTATTCTGGCTTTGTGCCATTTATAGACACTAAAACCCAGAAAGAGCAGAGATCTCTTAGAACTTATATTTGCAAAAACCCTTAGTTCGTTTGTTATTATTATGAAATGTATTTTTATTGATTTCAGAGAGGAAGGGAGAGGGAGAAATAGAAACATCAATGATGAGAATCATTGATCAGCTGCCTCCTGCACGCCCACTACTGGGGATCGAGCCCCGCAACCCAGGCATGTGCCCTTAACCGGAATCGAACCCGGGACACTTTAGTCGGCAGGCAGATGCTCTATCCATTGAGCCAAACCGGCTAGGGCTGTGTCTATTCTTTTTATGTTCTGCTGTTCTTTCTTTTTTTTTTTTCCTGTTTATTTCCTCATACCATCATGCTCTCTTAGGTGCAGAATCTGCTTAGGTATCTGTTTGAGTGGCGGTGATTTACATGTGGTAGCTGCTTTACCCAGAGAAAGGAATTGGATGCAGTTTGGCTGCGGTTCAATAGAGGGAGCAGAGGAGCTGAGAGAAAAAGCCAAAGAACGTGTCTGGTTCAGAGTGCGCGCCCAAGCCCGGGCCCTAGCCAGCCGGAGGAGGAGGGGCAGGACGAGGGGTGGTTGCCTCTGGCTGCTCCACCCTCACTTTGTGTCAGCAGGTAGAGAGCGTGATTGCAGTCTCAGGGGAGGGAGGCCGAGCTAGAACACCAATTACAAACCACAGGCTTCCTCCTCTAGGGAGTTGATCCAGAATTGTCTTTCTGGAAGAGAAGCACTCGAATCCTTCTGAACTTTCCAAGTCCATCCATGATTCAGAGATATTGCCTTCTCCCTCTGGGATTTTCTGTGTTCCTGGTAGTGAATTGTTGCTTTGCTTCTCTTCTCTTTCAAGATTTGATCATTTTATATGCTGTTCGGGGAGAGAAAGAACTTTTGTTAGAAAGGAGATTTCAGAAATGACTTTGGATCCTCTATAAGTGTTTTAGAATTCCTGGGGACAGTAGCTCTAACCCTGGAGTAAGTTTCTGCCTTTGACCTGCATGGATTATCTTTTCAGGCTGTGGAATTTCTCAGCACCTACCTGCAGTGTGGGGTACTTGGTTTGGTTGCCGAGTAAGAAGGTGGAAGAATGAGCTGTACTTGGTTAAACTGTTGAAATCTTTTTTGAGCAGGATCTATAAAAGCATAATTGAATTTGTTTCACCCCCGTGGATTCCAGTGGGCCCGGCAGCGCAACAGGTTTGCAGATTTCTTTTGAAATTCTTTTTTCCTCCCTCTGCCTCAGCAAAAGAATCTGTATAACAGGTTCATGTTCAATTGCTTGGCTCTTCAGTACTTATTCTGAAGACTTTATAAGATTTTAAAAATTTGACCTCTGAACACAGTGGGCTTTGTGGTTGGAGTGCATTTATATTTACTGAAGGGTGCACATTTTAAAATCTTGGAATAAGATTTTTGTTTGTACAAAGACCCTGATTCTGAAGTGTGCTTAGAAATTGCACAGATCTTCCCTGCTCTGGCTTTTTACTTTTCCAGGGCATTCTACTTAGAGCCTGTAGACTAATCACCTCCTTACTCCCCCTATCTTTATACCCCACCCCCTCAAGGAATTTAAAAACGTGTTAGGAATAGTCCTTTGTTTTACTTATGAACCTAGAAAATTACAGATTATAAAATCGGGATAATAAAGTAGTTTCCAAAAGCATCTCATGGGAAATCAAAGTGCTTGGCATTCTCAAGCAGGAGAATACAAGCTGGAATCCCTCAGAGAGAAAGAAAAATAAAAATAGAAATACAGTTTTTAACTGGGGAAAATAATTGGAAAGCTAACCTTTTCAAATAGTTTTCTCATTTGAAAGTTGAAAAGGTTGTGAAGTTCAGGATTATCCTGTATATGAGAAGACATACAAATTACTACCTATTTTACAGGCAAATTTGGTAGAACATTTAAAAGTTATAGTATATTTTAAGTTCATGAACAAAATTCTAAATTTAACGGGCCTAGAACTTTGGCCACGTCGAAATACAGTTCAGTGTACAAGCTTTTATGAATACATGTTGTAGCATCTTTGGATATTTCTCCAGGTGAGACCTGAAATGTTCTCTCTCCTTCCCTGTTTAAAATAAAAATTCTCTGTGATCTTTAGCCTTTTACCACTGACAAATTATGCTGCTTAAAAAGGGCCGTGTCTTCATTTTTTACGCTGGAGTTTTTTACGCTCACCTTTAATGCATGGCCTTCGTTGTTCACTTTGCCTTGTTTTTTTCATTAACGTTGGGTTTAGTGGCTCTACAACTTTGATGCATATGGAAGACCAGCAGCAAGAGATCTGACATTAAAAAAAAAAAAAATTCAGGATGTGACATTCAATCTCAAGCAAAGTTGGAAATTCCACAGAGAAGTGGTGATATCTTACTAATAATAGTGAAGATGGGAGAAAATGACATACCTGCAGCAGAAGTGGGCTGAAAACACCCTATTCGCGCCAGATCAGAAATGCCACCTGTTCTTGGGAATATACTTTAGAAAAAGGAAGGGCCAAAACTATGACTTGGGTTTCTGAAACCAAAGCATAAATTCTCTCGTCCTTCAATTGTCTGGATCTGAGAACCTGCGTTTGGAATTAGCTAGTGGAAGCAGTATGTATGGCCGAAGTGCATTGCTGCAGCTGGTAGCATGAGTGGTGGCCACCAGCTGCAGCTGGCTGCCCTCTGGCCCTGGCTGCTGATGGCTACCCTGCAGGCAGGCTTCGGACACACAGGACTGGTACTGGCAGCAGCGGTGGAGTCTGAAAGATCAGCAGAGCAGAAAGCTATTATCAGAGTGATCCCCTTGAAAATGGACCCCACAGGAAAACTGAATCTCACCTTGGAAGGTGTGTTTGCTGGTGTTGCTGAAATAACTCCAGCAGAAGGAAAATTAATGCAGGTAAGGATACCTTTCTTCTATTTCACTTTCCATCTGTTTGGAATATGCCTTTCTTCTTTTGTCTCCCAAACCAAATACTATTCAAGGGCTTCTGTTGCTTAGCTTTTTATTTATTCCATCTTTCAGTGATGTTGCCTCATTGGCATTCTAAAGCAAATTCTTATTTTATACTCAAGAAGAAACATATAAATCCTACATTTTAGAAGATCATCTGCTATTTTTAGCTCTGCTAGTACATTGCCTTTTAAGATGCACAATAAGACCTTTCTTTGCAAGTGTTACGTTCTGGACACAATTTTTTGATAGATGAAATAAATGGGCTTGTATTTAATTGAGGATGGTACTTTGTAACAATGTTTGAATTTGAAGTGAGCACTCAGAAGGTTGCTTTTAATGGTCAGTAGCACCCTGGAGCATATTGGATCACTGTGTCACTTTTAAAATTCAGTCAAGCTTGAATGCTCTGGCTGGCTTTCTACCACGTGTGGCACCCTATTGCTAAGCCCAAAATGGAGAGGACTAGATTACAAAATGGACACAAGGGGCCAACTTGCCTCCTGGTCACTTCGGTCTTGTCTCCACATAGTTTTATTATTTTCAAAATTTAAAAATTTAATATGTTTTTTTATTGACCCACAAAGTTTTTTGGACACAGCTTCTCAGGCTTTCAGGCTGTGAATTTTGCCTATAACTCATTCATAGACAAAATAACTCTTTATGTGTTGAATTTATGAACGGACCGGGGCCATAGCATTTCACAGGGGAATTGCTCATTCCTCATGTGAAGCCAGAGCCCAGAGGGCTGTACCTTTTTAATGTGTCTGTCCAGTGTCTAATTCCATAAAGTGATGTTGTATATTGGTTAAATTTTATTTGTCTCTTGCTGTAGGTCTTGGACACAGGTTAAAATGTCGTTAAATAGGATTTATCACAGTACCCAAGCTCAGATTTTTATTTTGTGATATGAACAGAACCAAAGTATTATAGGAATGTAAATTCTGGTCTATTTTGAGAGAGAAGGTGAGATAATTTAACAAATTATAGAACTCTCTTTTCCAAACATGCAATTCTACATATATGATTTAGGGGTTTTTCAGGACTGTTAGGCAATAACTATTTTGTAGCTGGGATAAGTGAAATGGAAGAAGAATTGGGTGAAATGGACGGCCCTGCTATTTAGAAAAATAAACAGGGGAAGAGAATGTATCTGGAAAAAATGGCATAATAATTTTTGGATAAGAGTATAATCATTTAATTTGAACTCTAGGATGGAATTAGGCACATTTTAAAGTTGAAACATAAATCATTTTGAATACAACAATTGGGACAATTGGAAAGGAAACTTCCTTTTTGACTTGCCTAGTTAATACTCTGAATCATGAAGTATGCGCTCCATTTTAATTTTTTACCCTAAGCTTTTTTTATTGTAGAACCATATATTTTAATCTCTGAGGTGTTTGGGAGACGTACGAAGGTTTGTGCCTTATTAATGTCCTGTGGCAGCAGCATGTTCAGTAGGTTAATTATATACTGCATAAAATAGTGTCCTTTTTATTTTAAACTTTTTTGTCTTCTGTCATAAAGCTCTACATAAAGTTTCTGTGCATTCACAAAGGAAAAAGTATATAAGAGGCACTAGCTGGCATTCTCTTTGCCATTCATTATTTTGTCAATATTTATTATAGCTTCTCTTTTTCTCACCCTGGTGAAATTTGCTAATTTTTTCAACTGTTAATGTTGGGCCTATTAGTATACTCTTAAGTATTGGTTCCTTATGTTGTGAAGAGGGAAGTTCATTGTATCTGTTATTTAGCAAGGTCTTTCAGGCTTTACGGTAGATGGTTTGCATCATTGGCTATTTTCGGTCTTTCTTTACCTTTTCTGTCCACGTAAGCTTCTTCTAGGTCATTAATAAACTTGTAAGCTTGCCTAGTATTAATCTCTGGAGACTTTCACTATTGCTTCTGGTTTGTTGTCTATTAATCAATTTTTAATCCACAATATTTACTAAATTTTCTGAATAGTCGCTTATGAAAACGCAAAGACAACCTTTTGAATGATAAGCATCAGTTGTTCTTTATCCAGTATTTGAAGAATTCTTTCAGAGAACTCCAGTGTATTGGGGACACATGGTTTTACACCTCTAGAATCCACGCTCTTCCTTCCTTATCAGATTACACTGCAACTCAGGATCACTCAGCTGTGGTTAGCCAAGCCTTCCATTGAACTGGAGTTCCGTTTGTGTCTCCTTGAGGTGTGCTTTGCTGCACGTTAGCTTTCTTGGTGGACAGCTGTACCCTGGTGTCACAAATCCAAAGGGATAATTCTATGTATCCTTCTACCTATGAATGAATTATTGTAGCTGAACCATAGAATTTTCTCTGAAATAATTTTGCTTGTCTCAACTTCATCTGAGGCTGCATACACTAGTACAAGGACATTGAAGGCCGGGCCTTGGTAAATTTTTGTCCTGATCCTTTGTGCTTGGGTTTCTTTTTACCAACAGTTAAACGTTTTAAATTGTAATATTCTTGTTGGAGTACTAGAAGAAAGTCAAAATAGAAAAGGAAATGTTGCCTTTGCTATTTTTTTCTATTTCATAACTCTTCGTCTTAGCCCTGACCAAATTAATTTTCTTTCTTTCTTTTTTGCTCAAGAGCTGCCTCTTTGCATTACCATATCATTACACATCTCTGTGCGAGTTTGCCGTTGTCTCTAGTGTCTACTTCTTATGTTGGCCCTGCATTTGCCACAATTATTGTCTCTTCCTTTCTTCTAGTTTCTTTCTACTTTTCTGTCTGTATTTCCACTTTATTTTTATATTTAGGATAACCTTCCACTGCTATTCTAATCAGTATTTTTCTAAGTAGCCACCACCAATCCATGTCAAAAAATATCTGTAACTCTGTGTAATGATGGATGTTAACTAAACTTATTGTGGGAATTATTTCACAATGTATACCTATATCAAATCATGTTGTATACCTAAAACTACTATAAAGTTATATGTCAATTATATCTCAATTAAAAAAGAGAGACAGAAAGTGGGAGACCAAAAAAAATCAATTTCAAGGAAACTTTTCAGATTTCCTAATTACTTGGCAGTGACTGATAAAGAAGACTAAATAATAGTGGATATTACTTCTTACAATTTTTATTTTTCATTTGAATATGTTCTTCTCCTGGTTTATCCCACTGTAGATGGGAAATGTGCTGGAGCTTATGCATTGTCTAATTGTCCAGCTTTTTAGTTTGTTTACTTCTTTTCAAGGCTTGTTTGTATTATTTCTAGTAATATGGTTGCTACCACTTGTAAAAACAATTACCGTCCTACCTTCTTTTTCAATTTTTGTTCCTTATTCATAAATGTTATTAATTAGAGGGACAACTCAAAATTAATCTTTCACTGGGGTGTACACCTGAAACTAATACAATAATGTATGTTAACTGTAATTGGAAAATAAAAACACGATTGAAAAAAAAAAGCAAAAGTGCTAGAGGATCTTAGTGTAGCATAGCGAGGTCACCAGTTCAGCTATCACACTCTTCCTGCTCAGCTGGTTGTCTTGGATTTTCTTAGACTCGGGATCAAGTGATGATCAAGATTAGAATGTACTGCCCTGAGGCTTCAGCACTACAATGGAGCTGTGGTGTTTAGCATCTGGGCAGCAGCCGTGAGCACCTCCTGCACACACTCCCCCTTGCACGATGTCTCCGCTTGCCTCTTAATTGACCTAGTAGTCAGCACCTACTTATCCCAACTTTGCACTTTTTACTTTATTTGTAGTTGGGTCCTGAAATGAATTATTTGAGGAGGGAGAGGAAACTTTATTATTATAAAGTTCTGGACAAAACCAGGGAGAGAATGCTATACGGAAAAACTGTAGTTGATAAAGTGACTGAACTGTGACTCAAGGGACTGACTTTCAGTTCTGACTCTGCCACTGAGTAGCTGGGTGATTTGGGACAAAATGATTTTCACCTTTCCAGGCTTTAGGTTCTGTGTCTGTAAGATTGAGGGATTGCAGTATAACAGTGTGTAACCAACTTGTGCTTTGAACTTTACAAGTATTAGCTTGTTTACTCTTCATAATAACTTCATGCAGTACTTTATTTTTCACATTTTACAGATAAGGAAACCAAGGCCCGAACTGTTAGTATCTGCCAAGGTCATGGCCATAGTTAGTAGGTGGCATAGTTGGAACTTGAACCCTAGAGCCGGTACTTTTCCAGCGCTAAAACTCTATACATCTAAGAATGCCATAGATGAACAGAACACCAGGGTAGGCTTTATATAAATGATTAATTCCTTTCTACAATAGAAAGGAATGAAAATGATGAACATTATTCTCTGAGATTGATCCAGAAAACATAATATCCTGCTAACTTCTAATAACCTCTGTATTTCTTCTATTTTCCCATTTGTGTTTCATTTGCAAAGGTATTTGTAAAGCAGAATGTTTATTTACTCAGTATCTCTGTTTTAATTTAACACCTTTCATTGTCTTTCTCTTCATTTTATAACAGTCTATGGTAAAGTATGTAGTATAGGAACCTGACATATAAACTTTGAAACAGCATGCATTTAACTGTCATTGTTCAAGTTAGAGTACCTTGGAAGCAGAGATCTCAAAGGTTCTGTGATTTCGCTTTGAGGCCAGCCTTTAAAAGAAGTATTCATATTCAAGGTATAGTCAACTCTCAGTTATTTATGTTAATTGAGGTGCAGATAATCCACTTAATTTATAATTGACTTTGGAACATAGTCAGAAGTACACCAACAGACGTAATTCCTCTGTATGCACAAACAATCTTAGGCACTTGCCTTCTGCAGTGCCAGCTCAGAGCCTTCTTGGCTTGGCACCCAGAGGAGAGAAGGAAGCTGCAGGATATTTGTAATGAATTTTTCAAGTTGAGAAGATATCTCATTTGTAAGCAACCATCAAACAGATTTGTATAGATAATAGTTGCACACTTCATGTCGATTGCCGCAAAGATTT